CGAAAATCTGATGCAGTGTGAATCCAGCATTAGTGTTGGCTAAAATGAAGTGCACATGCGCGAAATAAGCGTAAACCTAGCGTTCTTATGGAACACTCCTATATGCTATCTGAACTTCTTTCTCTTTTCATCTTTCTTTTGCTCTGTCAAAACTTACTATATTTATTCGCGTCGCATTTTAATGAATGCGTTGGAGTGAGTAAGAACTACTGTAGGAGCATATTGGAGCATGCAACGCGAATAAACCCACTATTGCAATGAAATAATCTAAACTTAATGAAAATTAATAAAAATAAATTGTAAATATATTGAAAAATAAGGAAAAAATGTAGAAAAATTAAAAAAAATATTAAATCACCTTCAAAACATATATTTATATAGAGAAATATTACATAATTGTAAATATATGCTAGGTATCAAAATGTTATGAGTTGATATAAAAGAAAATTTATATATATGTATATGTCCAAAAAATAAATTTAAAAATACAATAAATAAAAAATTTAATATATTTAGAAAAGATATATTTATTAATACCATATATTAAAATAATTTTGATAATTATGCTAAGACATATAATATATATGTAGTACAAAGACACTGCATGTTAAAATATTAAAAGGAAATGTTTTATTAATGAACAGAATCAAGATATTCCCTTTTTTGTATATTTCCATTTCTTTATTTTATTTTTAATATATTCCATGTTTAGTATAAGTAGAAAATGTATGATGCACGTAATAGCCACAAGCTTCATTGATTGGAATTGTTGATTTGTTGTCATCCTTGTTATTCATCCTTAACATGTAAAAACTTATATAAATAGATAAATTAATTAAACATTTGGCAAACACAATATTAACACATATATACACATGCAACATATATTTATAACACATACATATAAAATTTAAAAAATATGATCAATAATATTATTATATAATTACATAATAATATTATTGCACACGAACAATAAATAATGCACAATAAAAATAATAGGCATACGCAATTAAAGAAATATTTTACATGAAAATTTTTATATTACAATGTAATTGTAATATAATGCAATTTGGAAGTAAAACATTCAATTAGTAAACATACAATGTAATTATATAATATAATGCACTTTGAAAGTAAATAAAGCATGCAATTAATAAACATACAAGATTTGAATTAAAGAAAGATATGAGACACAGTAACGTATATAACAGTTCATGCCATGAAATACGTTTCATTGTCCAACTCTTCTTGAATCATATCTCAGCTACTCGATCCATCTCGATATGAACCAAAGAAGAAGAAAGCCAATGAAATATGTAAAAATACAATAAAATCATTACAATAATTATAATGGGCTCGTAGATCATGACTTACAACAGTCCACTCCACAAAATACATTTCATTGTCCAACTCTTCTTGAATCATATCTCAGCTACTCGATCCATCTCGATATGAACCAAAGAAGAAGAAAGCCAATGAAATATGTAAAAATACAATAAAATCATTACAATAATTATAATCAGCTCATAAATCATAAATTACAATTAGTATATTATGAAAATAAAGCTGCAGATATAGAAAACGCAATAAATTAAAAGAATTATAAATGTACAATGTTTAAAAGTTTTCTATTCTTTCGAGTAACTGTTTTACACGACTTATTATGTTGCGATAATGTGTAATAAATACGCATGCGGAGAAACAATTTTATTAAAAAATCTTTTGGGAAATCAGGACATGGTGGTTTAAAATTTATATTTTGTGCTAACTGGAACAGAAAATTACCAATATTTTTTTTATAACAATTTTTTTCAAAATTTTTGACAAATATTTCTTCTAATTTCAGAACGTAGTTACAAAAATCATTAATTGATATATTTAAATTACCAAATAAATCTCCGTTTTGGTTTTCATAAGCTCGAAAAGAACGATATAGCGTATATCTAATAGTTGTATTATCTAAGACAGCTTTATTTTCACTTACAAAATTTTGACACGCATCACATGAATGTATTGCTATACATTTTTTTACTAAAAAGCCACAAACGTATTTAAATGCATTTTCCTCTGGCAGATCCATTGAGTAATAATCATGTATAGGAATTTTTAAAATTTTGTCTGCTGACGATGGAACTTCTGAAATTGTGGACGTCTCTGTATTATTTGAGGTTCCAATAATATTTAATAAATCATCATTATCATTAGTACAATTTTGTGTTTCCGAATGTTTTAATAATTTCATACTGAATAATTTTTTAAAAGCACGCTTGAACTGTATAGGTGTCGGATTAAAGCAATTACCACCTTGTTGTCGAACAGAGCCAAAAAAATTTTCAACAAAATCTTGATTTAGTCTGCGTGTTCGGAGATATGGAAAATTATAGGTTTTTAAAATCTTCCAAAGTTCAATTACACTCTTAATTGTGATCTGCCAGCAATCTAAGCATTTTAATTTTACATATTTATTATTAGCGTTAATTACTTTGATACATTTTAAGAAATTCAACATGTCTTGTAAAAATTGCATTTGTTTATTACTTCCAATAAAAACTTTTCCATGTTCTTTAGGATTATTTACATCGGATGAATTTAATATATCAAATAATTTATCCAAATGATCGATCAAGTCTATAGTTCCAACTGCTTCAGTTGCAAGAAAACCAAAAGACATCTGTGTGCACATGCCTGCTGCTACATGGTTACTAAATATTTGTGCAGCATATTTAACTTTCATCCTTAAAAAGTTATTCGGTTCAATATGAGAATTTGTTAAAGCAGGAGCTGCTTTTATCCATTGTTTGCTGTCTTTTTTGTAAAATTCTACGATATGAGCCCACGAAGCTATTTTATTATTTATTTGAAAATTGTATTTTAATAAATTGTTTCGAGTTGCTTTTAATAAATGTGGAGTGTTAAAGATGTATACAATACTTTCTCCATCAACTACAAAACTTGAATTGTCTACCGAAATATTCAACATATGGGACAGTTGGATAAAGTTTGAACCCATATCAGAAATAAAAGCATGCACCAAAACACCATTGCTTTTTAATTTAATAATGATGTCGAATATAATATTTTTTAAAAATGTAGCAGGACATGCAGTTTCTATAAAGCAAAAACAAACGGGCAGTTTCCAGTTTCCTGCAATGCTACGTGCCATTATAACTAATGCACTTTTTGCAGGTACAAACGTTTTTCTATCACCAAAATCTTCAAAACCAATTATCTCATCCCGCGATACATCATAAAATAAAAAGCTTTTCAAGCTCATTTCATCTGCGCATAATACGCAATGACGCTCCATTAAAGGTAAAGTATTCAATTTTACTTTAAGTGTTTCAAAAAGTTCATCATTAATGCCAGGCACAATATCCCACATTTGTGTAAATAATTGTAGAGAACGTACTGAAGGCAATGCAATTGTTTTCTTCAATTCTCTATAATTTCTTGGACTTAAAAAATACAATGACAAAGCGAATTTTTTAAAATCGGGATCGTATCTTCTGCCATGTTTGTTTTTACATTGTGCGTCAATTTGTGCCACTAATATTTTATTCAAACTCTGTGGTAATAGCTTACGGCCTAATTTTTGTAAAGTTTCTTGTTTATTAGCCTCTTTTTTGGCTTGTATGTTCTTCTTCTTCTTCTTCTTTTCTTTCAAACGGAGTTGTCGGATTGTTTCGCGGAGCATTTTATTTTGTGCCTTCAATTTTGCGATCTTCAAGCGCAGCTTCTTCTTCTTTGGGATATCCTCCGACGATTTCATGTCCTGTTTTGTACCCTTTGATGTACTTCTGTAACAAGTTTAAATTTATATAAGATATTGAGAAAAAAGGTTTATTATTCTAATAGAAACAAATAGTAAAAGATTACTAAATAAAATACAAAATTATATGAAGAAATAAAATGTATTATGTTAATGTACGTAGCGTGCAATATGTTGCATATTCTGGTATAAACTTTATTTTATATAAAAACATTAATAGTTTCTTTAACTCTTTAAGGCCCAAACACCGATCCTGTTTGAGTAAAATTTTTTTCTTTAAAATATAATCTTTAAAAATGTTCCTTATAAAGAATTTTGTGAATCAAATAAAATTGTTCTTTTGAAGGTACATAATCATGTACATTCATATTTATATATATACTCCAGCTACAGAATTACAATTAAATATTTAAATTAACAATGAAACATGAAAAATCAATCTTGTACTTTAAGAGAAGGTAAAAAAAATAAGAAATTACTAATTGTTTAGATATTTTCATGAATAATATGTTACACAAAATCAAGTGTCAGTGAATTTGCTGTGCAAACAATCACCATAGTGGCTTGTTTAATGAGAATACTATTATTTTTTAAGTTGAAACGACAATTTTAATTGCAACTACACTGAAAAAAATGCATGTAATTTTATGAAAATTACATGTCTATGACCGGAAAATTATCTAAATATGATTGGAAATTTACAATATCCAGTAAATTTCCAATCATATTTATGTAATTTAAGTAATTTTCCAGTCATAAACATGTAATTTCCATGTAAAATTACATATATTTTTCAGTGTAGTAAGTATGAATTAAGAATATTATATCGACAGGATCACTACTGTGTCAATAGAAATAGTATTTAGGAAAAGCTCAAAGTGAATGTACTTATTTATATACACTTGGCCTTACAGGGTTAAATAAATAAAATTTGATAAAAATTAATATTAGTCTACACAAATATGATGATAAAAATCTACATTTGATTCGATATAATTTACAATAAATTAAGACTTACGGTTTAACTATCTCAGCATGTACGTCATCAACAATAATTGGCAGTGTTTTTTATCATATTAATATATATGTATAAACACAAAAATACTTAAATACAAAATATTTGAATGCAACATACTTATTTATTTCTGCTTCGTCTTCAATTTCCATGTCATTGTGTTTCTGGTATTGCACACTGCCAATTGTGTTTTCTCTGAAAATAGATAGTACTTATTTCCTGATTTCGTAAATTATTTATAATATTATATGAAAAATGAAATATTGTTTTTCTCATTATCACTTATTAAAGCGACTACACACACACACATAGGTATAAATTATTTAAAAAATTTTTTTATATTAACTACATTGTCTTTTATATCCCTATTATATAAAAGCTTTATATTCACTAAAGAATAAATTAAATTAAATTATATATAAGTAGAAACTCACTTCCCACAATCTGATCCAAAAAATATTGTCGGTATGGCATCTGGGTGAAGTCGAGTTCTCATTTTATTTATTTTGTACCATTTCTCTTCAAAATGCAAATGGCACAATCGACAATTCTGGTATGCATATTCTGGACCTTTTGGTTCTAAGTCTAGCCTTCCACATGCTCGTACCCATTGCAACCATCTACAAATTATATTTTATCAATAAAAATGTACGTAAAATTGAAAATTGATTTATATAAAAAGTGATGAAAACAACATACCTCTCATGTTCCTTTGGAAATCGAAAAAAATAACGATCTTCTAAATCAAATTTTTTTGTGCATTCTGGTACTGCACACCATACGTTTTTACTTTTATTCATTTTATATAATTATTTTTTCACAATTTTTTGGAGTTGTACAGCATCTGAAACAGAGCAAAGTACTCTTCCAAGAGAATTGCTAACCTATATAACTATATAAGTTAACTTCTCTCAAAAAGAAATCTTTCTTGCTCGGTTTTTTTTTTGTTATTTTCGTTCACTTTTTTACTTTATCACATGAATTAATCCAGTCTCTCGAGGTTTCTCACACAACACCACCAAATGGACAATGCACGCTGTATTTCCCTCCAAATTTCTATTCTCAATCACTCTCAACTCTTTAAATGAAACATTGATCATTTAAATAGAGAGAGAGAGAGAGAGCAATAAAGAAGAAATAAGACGGGGTAATTTATTTATTTCACGCATGCGCACTCCATTTTGGCCAACATAAAAACTGTAGCCGTACTATAATAAGGGCGCGTTCACACCTTGACGGAAAAGCATAAAGCGGAAAAGCAATAGCCAATCAAAACTCGCGCTGGTATTCGACAATTTCGGCTTTTCGTATTATTTACTACTAGCGTGAGTTGTGATTGGCCACTGCTTTTCCGCTTTCTGCTTTTCCGTCAAGATGTGAACGCACCCTAAGGCCAGAATCAGACTATGCATTGGCTACGTTTACACCGTGCATTTAGGCCGCGGCCTATACAATAGATGTCCTTGTTTATCCTGTATATTAAACAAAGACACCTATCGTATAGGTCGCGAACTAAGCGCACGGTG